TTTTTCTTTTGCATTTTTCACTAAATTGATTCTTAATTTTTGGTTTTGAAGTAGTTGAATGGTTTTTTTTGCAAATTGTTTATTTTTTAATGTTATAAAATATGTTCTAATGAACGTGTTTTAATTTCTTCTACTAGCTTTAACTTGACATCCTCAAAAGCTAACATACCCTTATCTCCTTGACCATGAATGCGAACAGACACTTTATTTTCAGTCATCTCCTTCTCTCCTATGACTAACATATAAGGTACCTTCAACATCTCTGCATCTCTGATTTTTTTACCTATTTTTTCATTTCTATCATCGGCTTTAGAGCGAATACCTGCTTCCTTTAGTTGTTTATTGACTGCCTGAGCATAGTCCATAAATTTATCTGAAATAGGTAACACTGCGACCTGCTGTGGAGCTAACCATGTAGGAAAATTGCCCGCAAAATGTTCGATAAGAAATCCAATATAGCGCTCGTGAGTGCCTAAAGGTGCCCTATGTATAATCAATGGTCTCTCCTCTTCGTTGTTTGAGTTTTTAAATGCCAGTTTAAACTTCTCTGCCGAACTAAAGTCAACCTGATTCGTAGCCATAGTAAACCATCGACCTATAGCTGATTTCATTTCTACATCGATTTTCGGTCCATAAAAGGCAGCCTCATCGGCAACTTCTTCAAATGGAACGCCAAGCTCTAAAAGAACTTTTCGAACCATGTCCTCCGTCTCTAACCATAATTCAGGATTATTGACATATTTTTGACCTAATTTACTCGGCTCATGTAGAGATAAGCGCATCTTATAGTCTGTGACTCCAAACAATTCGAAGTTTTTCTGATACAGTAGATTGACTTTTGAAAACTCTTCAAAAAACTGATCTTTGGTGCAGTAAATATGAGCATCATTCATGTGCAATACTCTTGAGCGCATAATACCAAATAGGGCACCACTATCTTCATATCGATAGCAAGTACCGTACTCTGCTAGCCTATAAGGTAAATCTTTATACGATTTCTGCTCCGCATCGAATACTTTGTGATGATGTGGGCAATTCATCGCTCTTAAATAATATTTGGTGCCATCCATTTCCATAGGAGGAAACATACCATCTGCATAGTAAGGCAAGTGCCCACTCGTCAGATACAATTCTTCTTTAGCGATATGCGGTGTCACTACTCTATGATAACCATGAGCTTCTTCATCTTCCTTTGCCAGTCGCTCCAATTCTTCTATCATGATACCGCCATTAGGCAACCACAATGGCAAACCAGGTCCTACCATATCATCGAAGGCGAATATGCTCAACTCTTTCCCAATCTTTCTATGATCTCGCTTTTTAGCTTCCTCTATCATAGTTAGATAGGCATCTAGCTCTGCCTGTTTAGGAAACGTAATCCCATAGAGACGGGTCATCATAGGATTTTTTTCATTTCCACGCCAATATGCGCCCGCAATATTGAGAAGTTTTATGCTTTTAATATAGCCTG